TCTCTCTCTCTCTCTCACACACACACACACACACACACACACACACACGCGCGCGCGCGCAGTAGTGGGGCCTGGAAGTTCCAGTACAGGTGATCCAGGGAGAAAAATTCATCTGGAGATGTTTGGAAAGAAAATGCCAACTCGGTTTGATTTAAACAGCAGTTTAATGTAATCATTAATCAGAAATTATCTTTTCTTTTGCCTTTTCCCACTTTTTCTTCCTTTTCCTCCCCCTGTCAGCTGAAAAATAAGTTTAGCAAGCAACAGAAAGGAGGGTTAGGACTATATAAATAAATTCAAGGGCCTGTGTAAGGACAAGACTGAAGAAAGATGGTGTCTGCTGAGAGAGAGTTGAAAAGGTGTGCAGCTAATACTCAAGGAAACCGGGTTACAAATCCTGTTGGAAGATGAGGGTATTTGGACGGAGAAGGTGATAGAGCAGAGTGGTCCTTCAGGAAGGGCCCCAGTGAGCCTGTGGGCTGGGCCTTTGGGGCGGGGTTGTGGCCGGTGGAGTGGACGGCTCGGTCGCTGCAGATTCTGAGGTCCCCTTGCCCTAGGTCAACGGGATGGACATCGGCAACGTACGGCACAACTACGCCCTGCACCTCCTGAGGCAGCCCTGCCAGGTGCTGTGGCTGACGGTGCTGCGGGAGCAGAAATTCCGGGGCAGGACTGATGGGCAGCCCCTGGACACCTACGGGCCCCGGGATGACAGTTTCCATGTGATCCTCAACAAAAGCAGCCCGGAGGAGCAGCTTGGAATAAAACTGGTGCGCAAGGTGGATGAGCCTGGGGTGTTCATTTCCAACGTTCTGGATGGTGGCGTGGCAGGCCGACACGGTCAGCTGGAGGAGAATGATCGAGTGTTAGCCATCAATGGACGTGACCTTCGGTACGGCAGCCCGGAAAGTGCAGCGCATCTGATTCAGGTGAGTCACGGGTCATTACGGGATCCCAGTCAGCAATTGCCAGCATGGTTAGGAACACTCATCACCCTGACCCACCTACCCTGTTACTACCCTGTGTGACATACCACTGTATGTCCTCCCTTTCGAGGAGTTGAGAGTGGAGGGCCAGGGAGGAATATTACTCCAGCAAATGGTGTGTCTTGGGGTCATGGCCATTCCGTTGGTATTGCCGGTCATCCAGTCTGACTGCAGGTAAGCGCACTGGGCGAGGTGTTGCAACCTCACCAGGTTAAGATCACTCAAGGTCAGCGGGGTTGTGTCATCCCTGTACCTAGTATGGTAGTCATAGACCCAGGGCTCACTTAGATGTGTTCTGGACACTTCTAAGACATCTGGTTGTACCAACTCCTGTAAGAAGCTGTGCCATGTGCTCTCCAGGGATCCTGTGGACAAGAAACCACTGTAGGATTGGCTAAGGCTGAGCCCTGTCTCCATGGCTAAGTCCAGCCCCCTTCGAAAGCCCAAAGGAACTCAAATATGAACCTAAGCAAGTCCCCCTATAAGAGAGGCATATAAATTATCATTAGTCAGGCAAATAGAGCTCACGATAGCCTGACATTAGTTCAAACTAATTCACTCTCCTGACAGGCGCGATGTTACCAAGCCCCAGCATGCATCCTGTTGACTTTCGCTGGGTCACCATGAGTTTTTCTTTTTGTTGTCGTCGTTGGTTTTTTTTTTTTCATTGAACTATAGTTGATTTACAATGTTGTGTTTCGGGTATACAACAAAGTGATTCAGTTTTGCATATGTATGTATAATTTATTCTTTTTCAGATTCTTTTTCCTTATAGGTTATTGCAAAATACTGAGTGTAGTTCCCTGTGCTCTACAGTAGGTCCTTGTTGGTTACGTATTTTATATGTAGTAGTGTGTGTATGTCAATCCCAAACTCCTAATTTATCCCTCTCGCACCTTCCCCTTTGGTAACCATAAGTTTCTTTTCTATGTTTGTGGATCTATTTCTGTTCTGTAAATAAGTTTATTTGTATCTTTTTATTTAGATTTCACATATAAGCGATATCATGATATTTGTTTTTCTCCATCTGACTTACTTCACTTAGTATGATAATCTCTAGATCCATCCATGTTGCTGCAAATGGCATTTTTTTCATCTCTTTATGGCTGAGGAATATTCCATTGTATATATGTACCACCTCTTCTTTATCCATTCCTGTGTCGATGGATATTTAGGTTGCTTCTGTGTCTTGGCTGTTGTAAACAGTGCTGCAATGAATATTGGGGTGCATGTATCTTTTTGAATTATAGTTCTCTCCAGATATATGCCCAGGAGTGGGATTGTAGGATCACATGGTAACTCTGTGTTTAGTTTAAGGAACCTCCATACTGTTCTCCATAGTGGCTGTATTAATTTACATTCCCAGCAACAGCGCAAGAGGGTTCCCTTTTCTCCACACCCTCTCCAGCATTTATTGTTTGTAGATATTTTTGATGATGGCCATTCTGACTGGTGTGAGGTGATACCTCATTGTAGTTTTGATTTGCATTTCTCTAATGGTTAGTGATGTTGAGCATCCTTTCATGTGTTTGTGTGGCAGTCTGGATATCTTCTTTGGAGAAATGTCTATTTAGATCTTCTGCCTATTTTTTGATTGGGTTGTCTATTTTTCATCATGAGTTTTTCTAATGTTCTCTGAGCTTCCAGCTTTATTCCTAGAGAGACAGGCTTTGTTCTGGGCTCTCGTATTCTAACCCTTTAATCCACTTCATTTAGCCAAAATGTATTAAGTTTTTGCTGCTTGCCTAGCCCTGGATTAGGTGCAGAGAACAGGGAGATAACCTCTTAGGCTGGTCTCCCAAAGGAGTCCACAGTCTAGTAGAGGAGGTAGACTTTTTCTAAATGACTGCCATGTGGTGTGACAGTGTGTAATGGTGAAATTAAGTGTAGTGCTGGTGTAGACAAAGGAGAGATTTTTTTCTTTCTTTTTTTTTTTTTTTTACTGAGATGGGGTCTAGAAATTCTTCACAGAGGAGGAAAATCTTGAACTGGGGTTTTGATGGATCAGCAGAAGTTCTCTAGGTGCATGAGGCAGGGAGGGTCATTCTAAGGAGACACAACACAAGAGAATGTTTCCCCAAAAGCCAGTTAGGGAAATGGTTAACACCTGGAGGGTGGTATACATTTTAAAAGCAGCAATAGATAAGGCAGGAGTGGTAGGCAAGGGCCAGATCATATAGAGTTTTACAGGCCATGATCAGGAGCTCAGACCTTACCCCCAAGGCCATGGGGCGTCATTGGAAGGGTTTAAGAAAGGAAGTGACATGACTTTCTAGCAAGATCTCTCTAGAGGCAGTGGAGAGCTGATAGGAGAGGGGCAAGAACAGAGGCCTTGTCTTAAGATGCATTTGCAGTTATCCGGCACATCATGTCAGCTTCCACTTAGTGACTGAAGTATTCATTCTTCAAGTATAGACAGAGTCAGCAGCAGTAGCTGACTGGTCCTTGTACCAAGTTCCATGGAGGATGACATTCAGAAGACAGAGCCTACTCTCAAGGACTTGATCATCTCAGTACAAACACATCTCCCTACCCTTGGGTTCCAGTCATGGAGCTCTTCTAGGTGTTGGCAGCTCTTTTCTCTGTCGTATGTGTGGTATCTTATCCCTCTTTTTTGAGGAGAACCAAGCAGCGGATGAAATTATTGTCACTTTAAAGGTGGAAAGCCTGAGGCAGAGGGTGCAAGGGGACTTACCCTGCTTCCTCCATCCACCAGGACAGGAAGTACACGTGGTGCTTTGGTCCCCAAGCTGGGACTTTTGATGGTGCCCCAGTTCCAAGGTGATTCTTAACCTGATGGCCGTCCACCTGCCCTATGGGGTCTGAGGTCACGCCCTGTGGAGCCAGGGGAGCACAAAATCAGAGTTACAAGAGACATTTCCCTTCTGGAGTTTATGCCATCTATTCCCAAGTTCACATGCCCAGCTCCAACTTCTTTGAACACCACACTTGCATAGACAGCTGCCTACTTGGTATCTCCATGTGGCTGTCTAAAAGGCATCTCAAATTTAATGTCCAAAAGTGAACCCTTGACGTCCCCCCCCTCCACCCCTTTCCAAACCTGCTCTTCCCCTCAGTCTTTCCTCATCTCTAGAAATGACACCACCATTTTCTTAGTTACTTGGACCAAAAAGAATCTTTACTTTTCTACATTCCCAGCCTACAATTCATCTCTCACCAACTCCATGGCTTGGATCAGCCAGGCCACCATTATCTTTGGTCTACGCCACTGCAGGAACCTCTTAACTTGTCTCCTTGCTTCCATATTCCATGATCCTCACCTCTCTCTCTACTCAGCAGCTAGAATGACCACTTTACAGAGTCAATTCTGCCATGTCGCTTTCTTGCCCTCAGCTCTCTGACGCTTCCCAAGGGCACTCAGATTAAAATTCCAAATCCTTACAGTGGCCTGCAGAGCCATGCTAATCTGGTCTTTAGTTGTCTCTGCAACCTCATCTTAAGCAAACGGGGGAGAATTTCTGGTATTCTCCCCCTTGTTTAACCATGCTCAGTCACACTGCCTTCTTGCTATTCCTCAAACATTTTTAAGAACTTTCTCAACTCAAGGCTGATGTTCTTGCTGTCCCTCTGATCAAAAGACTCTTACAAATGTCTATATAACTCCTACACTTCACTCAGGTCTCTCCTCAAATGTCACCTCCTCAGAGACACCTTCGCTGACAATCCCACTTAAAGTAGCATCTCCCACCCTCAATTCTCAATTCTGTAACCTCTAATCTTCTTGATCTTCTTTTTTTGGCCATGCCACGCGGCTTGTGAGATCTTAGTTCCCCAACCAGGGATCGAACCCATGCCCGCTGCATTGGAAACGCTAAGTCTTAACCACTGGACCACCAGGGAAGTCCCTAATCTTCTTTATCTTCTACCAACAAATTATTGTAATATTTATTACCTGCCAATCTAGCATAGTATAGTACAGTAGAGTATTATATCTCAAGCACTTAGAGATATGCCTGGCAGTAATAGGCACTCAATAAATATTTGAATGTGAATAAGTTTAGTCAAATTATAAAAACTTATAATTATATATAATTCACACATTAATTCCATCTCATAGGGATATTTTTCGTCAAACCATTTACTGAAGAACAACCACCAAATCCACCTTTACATTATTTGTCCCCAAGGTAGAACTCTACTTTATGTCACCTTGAATGTGCTCAGTTATTATTGGTTTAGCACCTTCTAAGTGCCAAGAGGTGTGTAGTACAACGGTGAACAAGACTGACACAGTCCTGGCCTCTTGGAGCTTGGAATACATTCCCACCTCTCCTCAAATACAATTAAGTCAGCACTGAGCACGTGGTGTAGCCTGTATGTGCCAGTGGGTGAGAACAGGATATAGACAATGTTTTTGAAAATATTAATCCATGGAAAAGGAAAAGCCCTTGGTTTTTTCTTTGTGAAGAAACTGCACTCTAAGCATGATTTTCTTCTCCTTAAAAAGCAGACTCTTGGGTGATCATCAATTTTTTTTTCCCTGTTAACACTTGTCAACTCCCTCTGCAGGTCAGTCAGTGCAGCTCACATTCTGAAGATTATCTGCCAACTGTCCTTCCCAATAGGTGAAAGAAAAACTCCCTCACTCATGTCACTTGGAAAACTCTTGATTACATATGACATTCTACTTTTGTAGATTAGTAACAGAAGAGGAAAATATTTTTCCCTGAGGAAGTTAATTTATGAAATAAAATGTTGCCTAACAGTGGAATTTCCTAAAAGATTCTTCTGCTTACCAAACAAAGCCAGTGTGCTTTATAGGCAGTGGAAGAGGAGGGAGAAAAAAAAAAAAAGCTTGGGCAAAACTAGTTGGAAAAGAAATGGAAAAGGTAGAATGCTGGGCAAACTCAGTTAAGCGATCTCAAGCATGAATTTTATTTATGAGATACTCGTAACACACACCAAGCTGGGGCGATTAAACT